AAAGAGAAGGTAATGTAAAGAGAGAAGGAAAAAGGAAAAAAAAGTAAAGGAAGAAAAGGAGAAAATGGGGGAGAATTATAATTTTTAAATTTTTCAAAGATTATTTTTATAAAATTTTTGAAAAAAATTGATAAGAAATGTTTCGGTTCATTAAGTCGTACACATCTCGAGTAAGAGCTTACATAAATCGATTATCTCATAGCAAGACTATTTTTTGTCTCCCTTCTCTAAAAAAGGCTTAGAAGTAAGCTGTAGATTGCCTGCAGGCATGTGTTAATTTCGAATGAAAAGAACGATTTGTAGAAAGTCTGAATATCTCCTTGGTGGAGTCAAGCCCTCGATTTTCGCCATGTAAATAAAAGCTGTAAAAATATTAGTGATGAGATTTATTTAAAATACAAAAAAAAATGCTAAATGCATTAAAAAATATAAAAAATAAAACTCAAAAGTATATTGAAAATAATCAAATGAGCAGGAATGTTTCGGCCCGTTAAGTCATATATATATTTATATATGTATATGTGTGTATATATATGTGTATATAATATATATACATAATATACATATATTTTTTGAATATATATATTTCTGTTCAGCGCTAGAATTGGATCTCATCAGTACGATGGTTATGATACTGATATTTTTATTTTTGGTGTCTTTTTATTCTACTGGACCAGTCTTTAATAGGCGATGAAATTTTCCTTCCGGAATTTATGTTTTTTTTTGCAATTTATATGTTTACCTGTATCACATTTTTTTTATTAATTCACTTGTTACTTGGAAAAATTTCGAGAAGAATAACTGCCTTTAAGACGGACTTTCTAAAATGCTTCGGTTTTTTCTGGAACCTTGGTTTCTTCTAGACTCAGGCTTGGGAATTTCTTTGCCGGTGAATCCTCAAAAAACGTGGACTGTGAGCCGAACATGTGCGGCTTTTTCATGTTTTACCCGACGCTTATGCTCGAAGACCGGTGCGAGAGGCTTCCGAGGTATTGTGCATGAGAAGCGGAAACTTCAGGTATCTCGATTATCGTGAGTTTGCATGCTTATTTTGATTTTATGCCTTAAAAAATTTTGTTTCCTATTCTGACCAATCGAGGCGGAAAATTTGCAGCTTAAAATTCATTCAAGCAAAAGGTTCGCAAATTATAATTCTGCGTCTTTGAAGTTTATTTTTTCCTCAGTGGATTTTAAATTTAGATAAAAGTTTCTGAAAATCCATCTCAGACGGAGGCCCGCAACAGATGAGTACGGGGAGGGGCCGGATACTTCGTTTTCACAGTTTTCTTGCCAATCGAATCGTGACCAGTTATCCATTACACTATTGGTCCTTGTGCTACAGATTTCATGTTCATAGCTTATAAATGCAATAGTCACAGGTACTATAGATCTTCCTATATTTCTCGACCTTTTGGGGGTATCCAAGAAAAAATTTTTGCTTAAAAATCATTTCACGAATTCAAATTTTTTCATTTTTTCAAAATCTGTTCAGGAATTCAAATTCTTTTTTTTACTTTTTTCTTCAAATTCAAATTTTTTTCTTCAGAGGAATTCAAATTTTCATCTCAGGTGTATTTAATTTTTTTTTAATTTTTTTTAAAAAAAAGGGCCTTTGTGTTATTTGAGGTTCTGCCTTAAATTTAGAAATAAGTTATTTTAATGTTTCAGGCAACAATGTTCTTGGAAGTGATCGACCCCAGCACTGGGCAACAGACCTGGAAAGTTGCTGATGAGAATTATGATTTGGTGCAAGAAATAGCACGCAGTGCATTTGGCGATATGATGCATGACACGGAAAGGAATCAGAAATACGAGCGTGGCTTGAAATCCGTTATCAGTGAGGTCCTGTTGCCCCGAATTATTTTTTAGCGTTTAAAGTTGAGGTTCAATTTGAGCAGCCTTGAAATTTTTGCAAAATTAAGGCTAGATTTGCGAAACTTTGAGAATTCGAAGCCAGTTTTGCGAAGTAGTAATCAGCTTTGAGGTTTTATTGCGAAACTTGGGCTAATTCTGAGGGTACCCAGCCACTTACTGAGAGTTAGCCTCGCGAAATCAGGGCTTTTTTGCGAAGTCGCACATGAACAGAAGACATACCCATAATATTTCAGCTCCCTAGCTTCCGTGGCCCCCGAGATAATGATTTTACCCACCAAAACATTTGCGGAGCCGTACGTGTTACCCGCGTTACCCGCGGGTACAGGAAGGCTGAATTTAAATTTGTGGGGTCATACGCTGGCGGGGAACACTCCACCAAAATTTCAACCACCCAGTTTTTGTGGTTCCCGAGTTGAAAGTTGCGGGATTCGTTTGTTAGCAGTTGGTTTGATTTGGCTAAAGCGCTTGAATATAATTTTTGGATGGGATTAGATGCGCTAAAATGGATATGAGCTATTCCCTAGTTTGAGATGAAGATTTCAAATTCGTACATATAACTCATGGCATGTACATTTGTCTTATTTGATGAATAAATTTGTCGCTCTTTTCGCAGAAGCACTTTTATGGATCTATGATTTTTTTGAATCACTATAATAAGAATGTATATTAATAGGAAGATATATTAAAATCGGATGAAAGGGAAGAAGGTAAGAGATGAGAATCATAAAATTTGTAAATTAATAAAATTAC